TTATTAAGGATGGACAATATGGCCACAATCTTCACGGATTATATATTTATTTTTGCATTTTTTAAATATATTAAATCATCATGTGATGATGCATATCCTCCTTTTTTGAAACTTGGTTGCAAACCAACAAAATAAATTATTTAAAACAATTCCTCTGGAAACCACGCAAGCAGCTTCTTCTTACTGCAATTGAGTTTATTGTCACACTGCCCAGCCTTAATATAATTACTCCTATTGATATTTTTTATTTTCTTGTCTTATTAATAGCTTATCACACTTCATCAGTTAGATCTGATTGACCGTAATCATTCAAATAAAAAACAAATATAATAATAAATAATATATATATATAATAAAAAAACAATTAAATATCTGTTATTATTGTTACAAATAATTAAATGAATTAAATTTAACCAATTAAATTGATTCATGTCTTTCTTTATTAAAATCTTTGACTGCTCTCTCTCTCTCTCTCTCTACACAGACACTGCTTCTCTCAGGTGAGATACCGTGCCGAGTGGTCGAATGAGACATCGTTCCGTAATGTTCTGATCAGCCCACGGATGATCGCCGATCACATGCCTGATGTGGTTCTGCACGCGCTGCGCAGTCTGACCCGCGAACAGCCGTTTGCTCTCTGCCCGTCCTCCATGAGCAACAGCCACCTGAACGTCATCTGAGCTTCACAAAAGACTGTCGGGAGCAAGATTTACTGGACTCCTCGTTTTATTTTGCGTATTTATTTGCGCATTTATACTCCCATTAGTGTGCCTGCTTTTTAAAGGCTTCATGAACTGCCATATATTCCCATCATCCATAAAAGTTATCATCGCTTCACATTATTTGCTATGCTGTGTTGTTCAGCTGTAAGAGTTACTTTCGTTTTTGTGACTGTTCAATGAGGACTCGAGCAAGAAAATGTCAGTATTATCAGTGTACTGGTGGCGTGATGTTTTTTGTGATGTATCTTCGCCAAATGAGGATTGGCCGATCAGTTGGCAAAACGCCATATGAGACTTAGATGCATGGCACCAAACGCATGAAAACCTTTCTTCTGATGTAGACGAGAGTCTCTTCATTTACTCCACTGCTGCCTTTTCAGGATATCATGCATTTTTCAAAAATAAAAATGCTGAGGAAAAGATGGTCTGTTCAAGTTGTAAAAAAGTGAGACTATGAAAAGTGCATGTTTTTTTTAATGGTTCTTGCAAATGATAAATCCAAGTTATATAGGAAACAGAATATCATAGGTGAAGAAATGAATATTATATATATAATGTGTGTGTGTGTATATATATATATGTGTGTGTGTGTGTATATATATACTTTTTTTTTTTTAAGTTGTGTATATATATTAGGTCTTTCTGTTCACCACATTAATTTACTTGCAGATACTATTCGTTTCTTATTTAGAGTATCATTTCATTAAAAAATGATTTAATATTTCTATATTTATTAAAAAAAATATGGAAATAAAAATGCACATTCATAAAAAAACTAGTTCACTAAAAAATATTTTTAATGCTACTTTTTGTAATGTGTATTTGATGCATTTAACAAAATAATGAGTTTAAATGATCTTTTGGGAGTCATTTTTCAGCCAAATTTAATGTGCAATAAATTTGCGATTAATTACATTAATTAATTGTCACATCCTGTAATTAATTAGAATAAAAATTAAATTGCATTTTATATATACAGTGGGTACGGAAAGTATTCAGACCCCCTTCAATTTTTCA